CAGCGGCAGCAGCAGCAGCAGCAACTTCAACTTACACGCGGAGGAGTTGTGCTCCAAGCACACCATCCCGAGCTCTGCCCTTGGAGCACGGCCAGCACGAGTGATTCCCGTGAGTCGCCACGCCGCGACTCAGCAACGGTGTACCTCCAAGCGCGAGTCTGCGCTCCGCTTCTGGTTTCGTGGAATCGTAGGACGCATCACAGGCACAGAAAACTACTTGTCCTACTGTTCAACTAGGTCTCTTCAGAAGAGGTTCTGCACCGCAAGAACAAGGTAACTAGCAGCACTATCGCCAGGAAGAGTAGTGGACCGCCGCAAACCCTGAAGTGCTCTGAGGACGGCACAGGAGGGAACTTTGGCCCCCATCCAGTGAGAAGTTCATGTGATAGGGCTGCAGCCCTGCCTGCAGGCACGGAGACGCCTTCCTACTGGGCCGCTTTGAGCAGAGACTTTGTCGTGTCTCTTACGCCAGGGGAGAAGGCAAAGTTCGGCCGTCGGTTTGGGAATCGCATTCCGGATACCGTCAAGGAAGACCGAAGCACTCACGAAACACACTGAGGCCTTCTCCAAGCTACGAAGTTGCTCAACTGGCTCGCGGCCCCGAGCCCCCGAGATTCTGGCAGGTCCCCGCCCCAGCTGCCAAGCCAAGCACGCGCCTTCTGCAAGGACACCTCGATTGCGGTGCGAATGTCGGTTTCAGCCTGGCTCGGGACAGGCCGTGCTACAGTGTCACTGTTGCGATCGGTAGCACTTGGCAGTGCTCGACTCGTGGAAGTCTTAAATAGTCTCTCAATGTTCCTCGCACCAAGCATCACCAAACTGCTGCTGCCCCAGGCTGTGTTTCTCCTGATTACCTCACGGCATCCCCGATGCCGATGCCCATCCCAGCAAACCCCGAATAAACTGGCCACCATGTCTGATGGCAGCGCAGCATCGGATGCAGAACAAGACTGATCCAAGAACAGTGGGTGTCAATGGTACTAAGTTGTGGTGCCCTGCATGGCCACGTCCGATGTGTGGCCTCGATCTGCGCAATGCACTCGCGCAGCCGAGCCTGCACAGGCAACATGCTGTGCCAGAACGACGGATTGCAAACTAAGCTATGCATGCTTCAACCGAACAACACCCGCAGCTCCTACGGTTCAGGACAGTCGCAAACCTGGTCAAAAACCATGAAAGCACCCAATAAGATACTCTGCACCTCCCGAGCCAGCACGAATCAACTTCACAGTGGCCGGAACACTGCTTTGGGCTCCACTTGCCTGCCATCGTGCGTCGAGGCCATTGGTCGCATAGCCCGGAATGAGGCCATGCTCCTCTTGGCATGGAGAACAGAGTGATGGAGCCTGAATCGTAAAGGAATAACATTATTCTTGCGTGTAGCATCAGTCGACCTTCCCGTATACCGAAACAGTGTTGCGAGGTATGGGTAGTTCCAGAGACTCATAGGAGCGATCTCTGCACCTATACGGCCAAAGCGCTTATGCGCTTACTTGCCTTCCAGTTTGTGGATTTGTCTAACTGTAAAGCAGCAACTGCACGTGTACATAGACCTGCTTGCATCCCTGCGCAGACTCCTCGACTTCCGTCCTGACAGCAGGAAAGCGGTCCACACCATCTCTCTCGGGACTGCAGAGCATCAAGAGGACACAGAGATGCCATGCTAGGCCCTCCCTGTGGTCCTGCGATCAAAGCTGGGAAAGATGGCCACGACGATGAGGGCAGCAACAAACAAAGCGCTCGTAAGAATCTGGTGGTGCTTGGCAATCCTGGCACGGATGACAATGCCGAGGGATTCATCTACCGAGGACCTCTGGCTATTCTGGCTCACTGCAGAACGACGACGGAACGCTTGCAACTGCTCATTAGCTGGCAATCCAAAACCATGTCAATGTAAATTGTGCCGGCCTTTGGCCAACCACCACCGCCAGCGACATGGCTGCTTCTCCAATGGCACTTCAAATGGGATGCCTATAGGTAACACTAGAGGTTCATCTAGTCTGCTGCACGCGTCAGGGTCTACTCACAAGTCAGCTCGCCAAGTAGATACCACACTGTCCCTGCTTTTCTCGATTTGCCGAAACATATCATGTTGTCTGCGCATCTGGCTGTCACTCCTTGTCAAACAGGTACTCCATGTTGAATAGGAGCTAAGCCAACCAAGCTGGCCGACAGCATACCAAGCCACATTTAACTATCGGGCTCGGCTCTGCTCAGAGAGCTGCTGCCAAGCAAGGGACATGCCATACACACACGAGAGGTTGGGTTTGGGGGGTTCAGAGTTTGTTTTGGAGTTTGGTTGCGGGTTTCAGGAGCTGAAACTTGAAACCGCAGAATCCTGTGTCCGCCTTGTGTGCTCCATGCTGGCATCCACGGTTACCCGTTCTGACTGACATGCTCGCGTGCAGTGTTTGCACTATGTCGAGCCCAGGCACATGGCCACTTGAGGTGTGTTGAAATTTACGATAGATTTTGGGCGGAGCGATCATGCGACAACTGGCCATGCTGTGGGAAAATGGACTTCAAACGAGCATGCAAAACTATAGACACCCAGTGGTGCTAGCTTGTGAGACTAAAGCCGTTCTCAGGAATCAGTGGGAGGTGGCGGCGGTGGTGGCGGAGGCACTGAGTCTTCCTGACTTGTGTCGGCGGTCTGCCTTGGGAAGCCATATGTGAAGCTGGAACAAACCGCACCAGGACAAGCAATCATCGCCAGACGTGCAGAAAAAAGAAGTGACACTGCTAGCCCCAATGCAGGAAGGGCACGAAAATTGCTCCCCCCCCCCTCCGCACGCATCGCCTGCGGTTTCGGCATACTTGAGGGGGTTGAGCTCGCGTCGATGTGACACCAAAACCGGCCGAAGCGGTCAGGGGCTCTCACCGGGATCGCACCCCTTCTCGCCCAGCGCTGATCCAGGGCTTGCTTTCCACAGGCTTCAGCACCTTTTTCCTGTTTGTCTGCTTCGGGTAGGAGGAGCACCGAAGATTTTACTCGTGACTGGGACGCCACTTGGACCAGCGGTGCACCGCCGTCTCTGCGTCCCAGCAACACAGGATCTCTCTTCCGAAGGAAGGAAGGAAGGAAGGAAGGAAGGAAGGCGAGAAGGAAGGAGGGAAGGGCTCCGCATCTCAAGTTTTCGCCTAAGGTGATTTATTCGCTTTAAGCACGGTAGCGAAATGCCTCTCCGACTCCCTCTTCTTCCACTCAGTCAAGGGGAAGCGAGCAGCCTCACAGCCCTCGCCTTCCCCGCGCCGCCATGCCCGGTCTGCATTAGACTACAGTGAAAGAGGCACGGACGCTTCCCCTCGTGATGTTCCAGCTCTTTGGGCCCCAAGCAGCTGGGTCATGCTGCAACCCTGCAGGATCACGCAGGTGTCGTGCCAGATAAACACTACTCCTTGCATCTTCTCCAAGGCCTCAGGGGCACCTGTCAACTATCCCCTCCCCTTCCTTCCTTCCTTCCTTCCTTTTTTCCTTCCTTCCTTCCTTCCTTCCTTCCTTCCTTCCTTCCTTCCTTCCGTTGGGTTCAGGTCAGCTAGGGAAAGGGCTTTGCGGCCTTTTGAGCGGTTTTCGCTCCATCGGAATAAAAAGTAGGAATGCTGCTGTCGTGGACCCAACCCTGGCCCTGTGCTTTAGCCCGCATCCCGCGCCCTCTGCGGCCCTTCTTTAGTCCCTCGACAGCAGGGTTTCCCCCAGCAGTGCACTACGGTAGGCAGACTGTCCCCGTTTAACAAAGCAACATTACCGTACTAAGCACCGGACCAACTAGAAGAGTTCGTTTCACGGGGTAATTTGTCTGTTGGGGTTCACCTTCAGAAGCAACACCAGAAGCAAGAACCGTGCAGGTAACGAAGACAACGCAACACCGGAACATCACACTAAACATAGGTCACGAGGACAGGTGGTTCAACCCTTTTGTGAAGTCTAGCCTCTAAGTCGGGCCTGTAAGGTTGGCAAAAGTTGTGCAGGGTTCCCCACTTCAGTGTTGTACGAATTTGCAGCTGGATCTCTATTTGGAAAGCTGAGTGTTCGAAAGGCTTGCATTAAAAGGGGGGGGGCGTGTGGCTCCCCCCAACGGCAGGTGGTGTCTGGCTCCACGGCCCGTCTAGTTGCTGTATTGGGCTCGGCGTTGCGAGCTGAGGTGGGGAACTCACATGGGAGTGTGAAGTAATAAGAAGTGGACAACAGAGCTACCCCCTCCCGCCCTCTGTCTCTTTTCTTTCGCCAGGGCTAGGGGCAGGGCTCTCTCTCTCTCTCTCTCGTTCCTTCTGCCTCTCCTGCAAGAAAACGCCGCCACAGAGTCGGTCAGCTTTGCAGCTGGGGGCGTGGCTCGGAAGAGACCTGCACAAGCTGTGTTCTCGAGGATCGGATAGTAACGATTGGGGCTGATGGACACCAGATGGCACGTCTGCGGTATCCCCAAGAATGTAGCAACACGGATGAATGCTCATACTCGCTAGGTCTGCTCATGACGACTGGGCATTAACACACCACGAGGGGTACAGGATCACCATCAACAACATCACCATCATCACAACCATACCAATCCATCTGAGTCACTTCACCACCGGCATCCTCATCACTGATCACTGACAAACTGCTGCTGCGCAACTGGAACTCCCCAAAACACCCTGAACTGTCATGGCCTTGTGGCCCATCCGGTGGGCCTGACACCAATGGCAGATCTGCTGTGACTTAAGGCACCCTAGCATGAGGGCTCCCATAGGTCAATGTTATGGATATTTCACAACGACGAGTGTCAGCAACCCGTGTCTAAGCCGACACCGCGCTCGGGACACAAATTTACACTTTGGTGTGAAGATCTCATGGTTGCATCGCAGTTCAGGCTGTATGTCGTGCGTCTTTGAAGAGTGTCCTAGTGCACGGGCAAGGGGGCTCCGGCACAGAGTTATGAAGGCAAATTCTCCCACAAAGGTTTGCATGCTTGGCACGATCGGCGGCATGCGGGATGACCTAATCTGCACTGTTCGAAGAGCTCTTTGCTCTTAAGCGCTGTTCTGCGGGTAATTTGTGCTAGAAACACGACCGACCCGACAGTCTTGTAGATGCATTGCGATTGCTGGCGCGACCCGATCAGGCGAGGACCCAGGACAAGTTCATCGGCTCGGCCGAAGCCTTATAGCACCCTAATGGAATGAGTGTGCCTGGCCTGGAAGGCCTCTTTGTCAATCAGGGCCTGACATTGTCAGGGCAAATGCCTCTCCTTGTTCCGCAGCTCATGGAATCACAACAAGAACCCCGTTGAACCCGCCTTCAGCCCCTCGGAGTCCAGAACCTCTGGATGCTTTGACCTCGAAGTGCCGTCATGCGCGTGCAAGAGGCGAAGGGCTGCACGAAACTCTGAGCCGGCGTGTTGCTTTCTGGCCCAATGTGCCAAGACCCCACTGTCGTCCAAGGCACGGGGGCCCGTGGTTCAGGCGCCACCGTTTGCAGGCCTCGCGGGCCCGAGCATCCCAATGATCCTTCAAGACTCCGGGGGCTCTGGGGGGTGGCAGGCTTTGGAGCTTGCCCCCCGGTTCTCTTCGAACTTCACGATCTCAAGTGCATATCAGGCATATCACTGTTGGCTCTTCTGAAGTACAAAACCTGCTTCCAAAGTTCCGGGCTACTCCATTCCAAACCTCTGGACGCTGAGGTACTGCGAATGGTTTCGACTTCATAAACAACTCACTGCTCCAGCAAACTTGCAAAGCTTCCTGTCCTGGTCGACAAGATCGCCGTCGTCATTGAGCACCGGATAACCCCAGGCGCGCAAAAGCTGCAGGACCAGAACAATGTGCTCGCCCTGCAGATTCAGCTTTAGTGCCCGGGCTGGTACCTAAGCACTGTGCATCGGGGAAGCAAGACTTGATCTACACCGACTTCTCAGAAAAAAATGCCCTTTTGGTTGATGGAATTGTAGGAAAGATCCCAGGATCTTTAATCTCGTGTGCAGGTCGGACTATAGGCAGTGGTCCATCGTACCGCCTCAAGCCTAACCCCAAATCCTGACAGAACACCTACGTATAGCAGCCCGAAACGAGCCCAAGCCCTAAATTCCAACGAAGTCCTTGAGATCCATTGGAGCTGCCAGGGCTGCGCCCTGACAAAGTTCTCAGGAAGTCTGCTGGCTTGCAAATAAGCACTGATACATATATATATATATATATAACATATATATATATAATACACACACACACACAGGCACACATGGCTGGCTCTCAGTGGCCGTGGGAGGCTTTATGCTTGAGGCCGGCTGGAAGCTTCAGGATGCCCAAACCTGGGCCTTCTAACTGATTCTACCCTGTTTCGCTATCTCTACCCTGGCCTACCTTGGCCCACATCCCCGTAGCAAGGCCAAGGCCTGCCTTGCTCATGATCTGGAGAAGCTCGCTGTTGATGTAAACATCAGCACAGATCGTCTCGAAACGATCCTGGAGGGAGCGTCTTCTGTTGGATCGGTGGTGCTGCATGCTGCCGGTAGGCTCGAAAGAAATTACCGGCTGCCGTCCCAAACCTGAAGTGTAGACAGCTCAAGACGGAAACCCAAACGGGAAACACTACTGGTAGCAAGCCCACTGTAGCAAAGCATCGATAAGACACCCTGCGGTTGGAACTCCGAGATTAATCCCTTGAGGCTCCTGTCTGCTGAACCTCGAAAATACAATAGTCATGATTGGCCAGACATTTGTCCGACCCCACATCCCTCCGAGCATGCGAAGCGCAATTCACCCTGACTTGATGCGTTGTGGCTACTTTCTGTAGGCGCTTAGGAAGAGGAGTGAATGCTCCTTGAGAGAAGCTAGCCAAAGCGATGACACCCTCTCCAGGTCGTCGGCGGGGAGAGGACGTCTATTGCAGGCCGCGGGCGGACAAACCTCGGACCATCCTTTGGCAGAAATGCCTCTCTCCTCTTTCCAGCTGCCGGGCAAGCGGTCTTCGCCCTGATGCGCCGAATGGGCATCGAAAGTCGCATGCTCTCCTCCGTATGTTTCCCGCCAGGTGCGCTACGACGAGTCGTTCGCCGAAGGCAACGCTCCGGCACGAGGCTTCACTCCGCACACCTTACACTATCAATATAAATTTTCAACCTTCAACCCTAGCACCCAAGCCCCCAAAACCCGAAGGCACCCTGAACGCCTAAACCCCAAAGAACAAAACCCACACTCTTCAAAGCCCAAAACCAACGTAAACCCAAAAGTGCCTAACCTTCTCCCAAAACCCTTACCCCCAGTTTAAATACATCAGACTTAAAGCCACAAGTTTGACCCCCCCCCCCCCCCCGGCACAAAAGGTCCGGACCTGCAGAAGCCGCCGCTGCCGCAACTCCTCCTCCACAGCCCTTGGTTTGCCAGGGCTTTCGAAACTTTCAGTTCCGGGGTTAGATGGCTTTCAGATTGGTTCTGTTTAGGTTTTAGCTGGGTTTTAGGGTTTTCTGTAAGGAGGCTTCGGGCTTCGGAGTCTGCTTGACAGCTTCTAATGCCATGGCGTGGGTGAGGGAGCGACCAGTTGTGGCAGCTCTCGCATCGGTCGGGATTTCTCAATGCCACGAGGACTTCGGAGTACAGGCTGGGAACTCAAGTACTCAAGTATGAGGACCTGGACCTTGGTTGAGAGTCGGAGGATGGTGCCATATTCGCAGGTATGGCGCTGGACACCGCTACTCTGGCTCTTCCGAGCTCTTTGCCTCGAGGCTGTGCGATTTTTGACTAGAACTACTGTCTTCGCATGCCACTCTGAATGATGGGAGAGGCACGCTTGACGCTGCTGCTGTTCGTACTTCGCGAGCTGTGCCTGCACAGCAAAGCACAACTTGAGAGTTTCTTTGCTCTTCCATGGCTGCCACTGTACGGTTACTGAGACTACTATCACCACGACAACTAGCGATTGAAACTCCTTTACCGCTGCCCGCCGCCATGTCCACCACCAAACCACCACCAGCACCGGCACCTCGTGACGACGACTGTCGCGCTTGCTGGAGCTGGTGCTGTTACCGCCGCCGCTACCACGATGGCGACGACGGCTGCGACGACGATGACGATGACTGCGAATAAGACTGACTGCGAATATGACGATGACGACGACGGCGACTGGCCAACCGTCGGTGGCGACGGCGGCGGCAGCGACGAGGACGATGACCGCGGCGACGACGCCCACAAGGACAACTAGCGACGTTTGCTTGAAGTGTGCAACGGCGGACTCTTTTAGCAGAAACCATAGCAGGGCAGGAAAGACACCCCTCGTTGTCTTAGCCGCCGGCACGCTGCTTGCGGCCAGCAGCACGTTTCATCAACGGACCAAACCGGCATCGCCAGCCGGTTAGGAAGAACGATCCTAAATCAAGCTCATCCTTGTCACTGGGCGAGGAGAAATGCTGATATCTTTGTCTTCAACCAGCTCCAGTCAATTGGTGGCACGTTGTGTATATCCGGCGGTGGCCAAAAGGTCCTTAGATGCTTTCTTGGCATTCGCAATGACTTCAGCTAGGCTCACCTTGATGAACTTGCCATCCCACACGACAGGGTCACCGTTGATGATGGAGAAGGTGACGCTAGCTGGGCTGGTAACGAGAAGGCCCGATAGGGGATCTTGAGCACAGCCCACCAAGGACAAGGCGGTCGAAGAATCCCCGTGGTCGCTCCATCCCACAATGTCGGCTGCATACCCAGGTGCCACCTTTCCGAGCTCATCCTCACGATTAAGACAACGGGCACCCCCGACAGTGGCCAAATACAAGGCCTGTTTGGGAGAGAGCGCGGTGGGATCTCCGGGTACTGCATTAGTTCCCTTTTCGTTGGTGGCTTGGCGGAAGTCGCGGACCCGTGAAATCATCATGGCCAATCGGCCCTCGGACAACAAGTTGCTGTGATCATTGGAGGCTGACCCATCACAGGCTAAGCCCACCGGCACATTGCTGTCCAAGAGCTTGCGGATGGGCGCAATGCCCGATGCCAAGCGCAGGTTGGAGCTGGGACAATGGGCTACGCCACATTGCCGCTCGGCAAAGACTTTGAGGTCTGCATCGTTAAGTTGTACACCATGCGCAAACCAGCAGTCACTGCGGTCCCATTCCACGGAGGCTATAAATTCGTTGGGCCGTTCACCGTACTTTGAGAGAGAAAAATCAATGTCGTTGGTGTTTTCTGCGAGGTGTGTGTGGAGAAGGACCTTCTCATATTCGCGAGCCAACCTGGCGGACTTTAGCATGAGCTCCTTGGTAACTGAAAAGGGTGAGCATGGCCCAAGAGCAATTCGGAGCATGCTGAACTTAGAGGTGTCATGATACGTCTCAATGAGCCGACGGCATTCCACCATGATCTCGTCCTCCTTTTCAACACACTCATCGGGCGGTAGTCCGCCCTGGGATTTTCCCAGAGACATGGATCCACGGACGGGGTGAAAGCGCAATCCAGTGTCCAACACCGCGGCGATCTCATCGTCGAGGCGACATCCATTCGGCCAAACATACGCATGATCGGATGCCAGCGTACAGCCGGACAGAATGAGCTCGCACGCTGTTGCTTGACAGGCGGCCTTGAGCTGCGAGGGCGTCATGCACTGCCAAATACCGTAGAGTGTGGTAAGCCAGCCAAACAACTCATTGGCTGGGGCGACGCCCCGGGTGATGGTCTGATAGAAATGGTGGTGTGTGTTGATGAACCCAGCCGTGGCAATCAGGATGTGCGAGCAGTCCCGTGTGCCTCGATCAGCAGCATCCGCCAGTTCTTTCGGAAGCTTTTTCGTTTCCCCAACCCATTCGATGACGTTCTCTTTGATAACGATGGCGGCATCATCAATGTCGCCTAGGGTTTCGTCGCCCGTGGCCAGCGTGCCGATGTGTGTCAGGATGAGCCTTCCCTTTGGCACCTCTGGGATCTTCACGCTGGGATCCTTGGTGCCCCCCAGACACGGTTTCTTCGCCGGAGGATCCGACATGCGAGCTGCGGACCGGCTCTCTTCTAAGCTCCTACACAGTAAAGGACCCAAAGCTTACTCTGTCCTTCGGCCTCTCTGTTTTTCTCGGCATACCCGCCTCGAACACACTTAAACATGCTTGCGTGATCTTGTGTGCACTTGCTTTCGATCCGCCTCATCTACGGGAAATCAGAAAGAGCAGTGTTCACCTACATGCTACCTCAGCATACCTCGACCTGAAATCGCACGTCGGTTTCCCACTTAGCCCATCGACTAGTCCCAGGGACCCAGCAACATCCCATGCAAGGCAGGCAGGTCCACACGGTCAGAGAAGCAGCGTAGGACAGCTTTCCAAGGACAGGGTCAGAGCAAACCACCGCGCCGGCCACACTGCGGCTGACATACGAGCAGCTGTCGGACAGAATGTGCAGGCATTGCAGAGCCCCACGTCCCAAGTGCAGGGAGCCTCGTTGGCGGCACGAGTCTGACGTCGCTCTGCGTCTTCGAACACCTCACTGGCCCTATCTGAAGTTTGTGCTTTAGGGTACTATGCCACGAGTATTGCAGTTGCTATCGCTGGCGCTCATAGTTCTCTAGGGTAAGGAGCCTTCCTGGTCGCTTTTGTCGGGGATGTGGTGAAGGTTTAAACACACATGGCACTCAGCCCTTTCGGGAGCCCTGCCGACATGCGAAGAAAGTCGTTCTTCTTGACAAGAGCCTGATCACACTATTTGCGAGCATTGCCGAGTCACAATCCTTGCTGGCTGTCTGACTTACATTGACCCACATGCTCACTGTCGCTAGATTCCTCTTCGTAACATGATCACGGCAACAACCATGCACACAGTCATGTTGGCGCCCATGTGGGCATGATGGCGATCACGATGGTGATTATGATTCTGATGATGATGATGATG